AAATAAATTCAACACGGAGAACCACTGGAATACATAACTGCTGCAGAGATGAAAGCAGCTCTGATAAATCTCCTTCGAAATGAGCAGGGAGTTTATCTTCCTACAGAAAGACAAGCAACGTCGAAACAACTGAAGCTGAAAGGAGATGAGCAGGGATTTTAGGGTGCAAAGGACGACTGCGATCTTGGCTATCCAAATGCAGAACATCCCATGCCCATTGTCTGGTGGAGACCGATCTGCTCGATTAAAGTTCAGAAGCAGCATCCCCTCACATGCGTATGGCGCATACACTGACAAATCGAAACAAGATTTGGATTCCAAAACTCAACACAACCCATGGTTCGATCATGACCAAACCCCTGAGTGCCTGGCCAGAAGATGAGCAACTCTTCCCAAGTTCGGATACTCGAAATGGACAATCTTCTGAGCAGCGAGAGCACAGCACGACCATTCGAACATTTTGGAGTCGACTACTTTGGAGCTTTTAAAATAGAACGGAACGATGAGCTCGCGAATGTCTACAGAATGATCGCGCAATGGCACAGCTTAATCACCTAGAAACAGGTACCAGCCACGAGCGCAAAGCCACTTACTACTGCATTAGCGATCGTTCCTCGATGTAAAGTCCCGCCAGCATAATAGTCGAGACAATGGGACCAACTTCATATGGCGAGGCAATCTACAGCCGACCTGTACAGCCTACGATCAGTGAGGTTTGCATTTCCATCATATGTGCAACAAGGAATGTGTGGAAAATCCAATTATGCTTTATTCCTAGCAGGAGGTCGTTTTTGAGCGTAATGACTAAGTTATTTGAATTAAGTCTCACAAGTCATGCCAACGTACTGATGTGCCGGATGAGAAAACCCTCGAAACGTTTCTGGTGGATACTGATGACTGCATCAACACCAGTACCAAGAAGAAAAGCGTGGAAACGCCAGCACCACTTCCAATAGATTTCATTCGTGATATGATCATAACGTATCTATGTGAGACATGGGAATGGAAGGTATCGGATCCGATTATGCCTCCCAGCAGATGAACTCGTGACACTACAACTCGCAAAAAGAAAAACAAAAGAAGCACTCAAAACAACACATCAGTTGATAAAACACTTCTGGAGTTTCTTGTCACTAATATCTGACCGCCTTGCGAGAATCACACAAACTATACATCAAGAAATGCAATACACTGAAAAGACCAGTCGGAAAACGATGTGTTGGGTTCCATGCCCTTCTTACCACGAAACACCTGGAAAATGAGAAAACAGGGAACTTTACTAGAGAGGGAGGAAGAAGGAATCTTCACATAAGTGCTCGGAGGACACGTGTGAATGCTTCCAAACTTTATTTTGTCAAAGTCGTAATTTCGATTAGTCTGGCAAGGGGTCAGTGCGATTGAAAAATGCACAGCGTATTCAAAGGCACCAACTCGGAGGCATCAGTGGCGGCATACAGACGGCAACCCGGGAGTGACCTTCACCCAGAGTACTCGGCTCTTCTCTTCTTCTTTGAGGTTGCGTCATTTTTGAATTCATCTATACCAACAATGCTAGCGTACACCGCCTGCTGTTGCAGCTGCAAGACTGCTCCGGGTATCGCGAAATTGAGGCGTAACAGATGAACTTCTTTTACTGCGTGGCAACTCGGAACCCACACATAACAAACGATAATCCGTACACTGACATTATTCGGCTTAACCGTTCTTCGCAATTTTGTGTGACTTTTGATCTAATTCAATGAGCGACACGAAATCATTTGTTCGCTGTTCCTTGCAAAAGAAAAGCTACGACGATCGCAAACACCCCAAAAGGTTATTCTCTGTGTCGAAAAATGAGCAGCTCTGAGAGAGAATCTGGGCACTTGCATAGCAAATATGCCACTCAACAAAGATGATTCAACGGGTTACGAAGTTTTAAGAATTGAAGTGAATATAGAGAAAGAAAAAACCATTGCAACGAAATAATTGAAATGGTTGGAAATGGTTAAAAGTTGGCACTTATTTTTGGCTCGACTTAATAAAAATATTTGTAGTTAATATAGTTTTCTGGAATAAAGTGGACTGAATCGCGCTCTGTGGCGCCTCGTGAACGGTCGGATGCGATTTGCTCCCGCGGTATCGATTACTTCGAGTTCAGGGGCAGAGTGAAATCCATTTTCCACCTCTACTTGTGGTTTCTTCAAATTCTAGCTTTTCTGTCAACCTCTTTCGATGTTTTAAGAAGTTACCTTGCTAAATTCTTTCTTCATTGTGACACATTCCTAACTTTGACTTCAAGTGTTGGGAGATTTCGCCTCATGCGCGGGTTTCATGGGCTGGTCTGCCAGAGGGAGCGCCCAGTCCCATCAAAAATAGGATACAGTTTTTGAAGAGTTGCCTCGCGGGATCTTATAACAGAGGGTGTACAAAACTACAGCGTATTTTTCAGACCGCTGTTCTTTACGAAAGGGACAACACAAACCAAGATGGTGACCAAACTGCGATCAAACCATGGAAGAAATAGAAAAACATACCTCAGAAGCTATCGATTGATGAAATGTGTACAGAAACCATGCAGTTGATAACACTCCTGCGAACACACATAACAACAGTGCATGTGATTTGTGCGAGTTGCACCCAGTCCGCGAAACGCACATCCCGTCGCTGCTCGAATTGCTCAGCATTTAGCAGCGCCTGCTATGTCTGAGGTTCGCTTCTTTTGCACCGCTAAAAATATGGATAAAAATGGCAAACTTATATAATGGTTCATGCCCCACCAGTCAAAAATTGACTCAACTACGGATGACCTACTATATATAATCGGCTAAGCGGTGTGTGTGTGTCTGACCGGAAATTCATAACTTCACCCCCTTTGGACCCAGAGCGCTCAAACTTCTAGGATATATAGGGGGCCGGAGGTGAACACTGATGACGGGTGGCGGGAAGTGATAACTACTGATAGGAGCTGATAACGGACGTCGAAATGTTGATGTCACCAATTTCGTTACACCGTTCGCGTTGACGGTGGAGAGTTTGCACTCATGTATGATATGTGGGGTGAGGCGGGGACCAAGAAGTTGAGTGAAGAATGTGGTAGCAACTGATAAGAACTGATAAGGGGCGTCAAAGTGTGGATACCACCAGTTTCGTTGCGGCCCTTGCGGTTACATTGGAACCTTGGCTCTCACATGTGGTATAGGGGATGGGACGGGAACACGGATAGCGGATGATCAAAGTGATAACAAGCGATAACGGTTGATAAGGAAGTTAGGATTTTGAGTACTGCTAATTTCGTTGCAGCCTTCGTGGTGACAGTAAATATTAGCTCCTACACGTTGCCTGGGGTTGGGACCGGGACACCGATTGAACAGTATGAACTGATAACAAATGACAAGGAATGATAAGAGCGTTTGAATGCAGGTCTCTCCAACTTCGTTGCAATTATCACTGGCAAGCGATCAAGGTGGCGAGGGTTGAATGTAGGTGACAGAAAGTGGTATGAGCGGCAACTGTACTGATAAAAGTAGCGACAGTTGAGCGTGCACTCAGTTGAACTAAACCAGGTCCCTAGCACGTGAATATGTTCCATTCCTACCCTTTCATCTAAAGAAGCAAAGAAAGTTGAGCTGCTCACTATCTGGACTTGGACCAATAGCGAATTTCCATCATATTTCCAATTTCCATCAGCTCGGTTAGATGCTGATTGATTGGTTATATTTCACTTACACACCGATTCTTCAATTGTGGAAATTCTATAAACCGCTAAATCATCCGAGCTCGATATCAATGCTAAATGTTTACGAAGTCATGATAAGTACCATTTTCATTCCGCATGCTACTGCGCGCATTACGCGACAATCTTCAGCAAAATTGGACACCTTTGAACTTCATGTGACACATCTTCCAAACATCTTACTGTTA